TAATCGATTGACGTTTCGAGGTGAGTTTAATGGCGAAATCCTTCTCCTTGAACTCGCTGTGAATTGACGAAAATTCTTCTCTAAGCCATAAATTATGACTGAGTTCGTCTCAGTGTCGTAGGCACTGCTTTGACTCATTTTTTTTCTTGTTTTACAGAGACTCGGATAGAAAAGCAGGATATACGAATACATGGATTGGAATATCATTCCTAGCTTATGGAGTGATTGCTGAGGCAAGCTTATCTTCTTATCTTCAGTTGGCTTCTGCTTTCTTTCCATTGTCGTTCTTACTTTAGAAATGCGACTGTCCGAGGTAGGAAAACAGCATGATTACAGCAGTTATAAGCTTATTAAATGTAATTACACCATGAGTGGAAAAATGACCTCCAATAAGAAGTTTAACAACTCTGATCTAGGATCAGCAAAATCCATGCATCTTAGTGTATTCATGTGAAATCACTAATTGACATAATAGATGGATTTAGTCCTACATAATAATACGTTTTTTCCCCCATTGACGGTCGATGGTTGATAGCACCACTAGAGTGGAAACATGGCCAGAAGTGAAGCGAAGCAAACGCCTCCGTTGTGTCGTGGATAGCACGTGAACCCCAGTAAGAGTAATCCAGTGTAAGAAGCCTAACTGAAACTGAGTTTGCCAGTTTTGCTTGCTTATATCGCAGCATTCTTGTGATTATATTTCACATGGTAATCGGCTATGGAAAACGAACAAGCAGTAATAGTTTCTAGGATCGACTTTTTATTAACTTCGGCACTGGATTATAATATCGTCGTTTTCTTTCTCAGCAATCGCGAGGTTGTTAAACAGCATACGTTTACTTCCATACAATAACACATATACAACACGACCGTAGCGGACGTTTCGGCAAAATCCCCTTCTTAAGAGCCGCTTTTTTCACCTCTCTTCCACCGAGGACGAACAGCCGCTAGAAGACGAAGACAGGTGAGAAAAAAAAAGAGAAAAAAGCGGCTTTGAAGAAGGCGATGCTGCCGAAACGTCAGCTACGATTATGTTGTACGTGTGTTATTGTATGGAAGAAAACTTATGCTGTTTAACAACCTCGCCATTGCTGAGAAAAAAAATGACGATTTAATAAAGTGTGAATAATTACCAATATATCAGTTTTGCGTAGTTCTTTTATCTTTTACTTGCTGGAGTGTAAGTGCTCTAAACTAAGCTTATAGAGGCAGATCTCAGAAAGACTTTGCATTGTTGTTTATAGCAGAAGTAAGAAAATGAAAAAACAGCTAGAGCATGTTAATGTAGTTAATAAGAACTCAGCTTCGAAATTTTTAACCACGCTTCTAAAAAAGTTGTGGCAAATCGGCAAAAAAATATCAGTGATATCAAAATATCGGCAGTCGACGGCCGCCCGTGATGAAGGCGTGGGTATGCCAAACAACTAGCCCATGGCTCAAACAACTTGCCAACGCAGAAGAATCACTTTTGGTGCTTCCTAAATTAGTCTCTACTATTTAAGTAGAAGTGCGTCGTTGCAGCCGATTAAAACTAGCAATATTCTGGAAATCTGTTGCACTCAACCAGAATCTTGTAAAACATCTAGAACAAACGAAAGAGTGTGCCTTTAGTTTTGTACTCTACAGAACCAGCGCAGTCACCTTACATGCCAAGTTGAGGCTTTTCTTGACGAAGCAGATCACATCACTTTCCTGTGTCATCGTCGCCAATCCGTAGACACCCGACTATGCCTGCCTTGTACAATGAAAAAATTCCATCAGCACGTTTATGACCACCAATGAATTGCTCGAAAAGAGAAAGGAATGTGGGGTAGTGCAACATAATTCGTGCGATCGGGAATAAAGACCTGTTCAAAGATTCTTGTTGAAGAGCCAATAACATTAAGCTGATAACCCATCAGCTATACTTGTGAGGTTAATATTTATATTTCATTGCTTTCTAACAATAATTGAATTTTTACCCTAAACCTTGCGGTATTTTTACAACAACGAAAAAGATCTGCTCAGGTTACTCCTTTTTCCCGGATTGGGTTCCTATACTGCGAACAAGTCACTCCAAATTCTTCCATCTTGATTTGTAAATAGGAATAAAGGTTTTAGAAATGAAAGAAATTTATACCATGCAATCCAATTTCATTGAATACATAGCGCACGCTGTCATTTTATGCCTGAGAAGTGAATCTTTGGTGCTACAATAATAAGTTTTCGTTTTCCAAAATTCACCGTAGGTTTTTGAAGAGCATCTCTTCATTGCGTGTGAAGGAAATCTCGGATGAAGTTCGCTTGGCTAAGCGATTGTGATTCTGAAATGAGTTCAGCTGTATGGACCGCCTTTTAACCTCAGCCACAGTCATATGAGCTCGTTGACAGCGCTTCCTGTCTGTGGTTCTAATATTCGTCAACTACAAAAAAGACTTAAATGGCGAATTACACTTTGTACTTTTCCACAAAAGAAGCGACGCCTGCTGCACAAAAACTCTAGTCGATCGCTTTTCCTTCGCCTCATTACCATCTCCGAAAGAAGGAGTGTGGACAACAGTATCATCTCGCCAAACTTGCTTCTTGCTTGTAGCGGATAATTGATCTTCTCAATTGGCATGAAAAGAAGCTAAAGCACTAATGAAAACATCTTATCAAATCCTTTTTGCCTTCAATATCGTTGTTTCTTCGAAAGGTATCAGTGAAGCAGGTGAGATGAGCGAATAATAGCAGTTCAGCGTGAAGTTAAATGGCATAATACGGTAAACATAGTATCAGAAAAGACAAAGCTCATGAAAATCAATGAAGCTATGAAGGACGATTAAAGATGAATGGCTCACTAATCGCAGTGTTCTTTGTTACACGTAAACAAGTATTTTAGTCGACTTGGAAAACATCTTGGAAAATAATATTTACAGAAGATAGAGAGCAAAATGAGTTTCCATCGTGGGATTCAGCTAAACATTGCAGGAAATTTTGTGGTTGGCCGTGGGCGGTCCCACATTCTCTCCATTTATTTGGGATGCAGATAGACAGGTATAGGACAGCTAGCATGTTATGCACATATGGGAAAGCTCTGAAGTCACCTCATTTAAAATGTAACCGATGCACATAGTATCCACTCGAACAACGCAAATCAAGCCAAAAACAGTATCTCTCTAGGGGATATGCACCTTCACGTTGTCCAGGTCAACCAATCATACGTGTAGATTACATCCGTTAAAAGAGTAGAAGCGCTGGAGCGCAGTGGACAGATCTGCTGCGCAATAAAAGACATATTCTTTCTGATCTGACCATGGTCTTGGATGAAGCTAGTCTAACATCTCTCCGGGATTGGAAAAGTCACCCTAGTGCAGCTGCACCATGATTTCAGGAAAAATCTACTAAGCGATCGTCCAACGATATTCTTTTGTGAGAGAGAAGGTTCACTTGCCAGCCAACTGACGCTAAAATTCCACGAACTTTTCTTATATGAAATATGCCCGTGTAGAAATACAAGAATTAACTACCTCTTCCTCATGGAGTTTCTTTGAGCGAAATTGCCTAACATCGAAAATTATCATCCGTTTAATATCAACTCTCACAACGAATTCATGATTCTGACGATTTCAGCTCGTCTATTCCATTGTGCTGAGCGTTATGATGCGAAAACAGCACAGCCGTCTGTCTTGCTATAAAATCATGATCGCCTTAGGTAATGTGAGAAAACGTGTTTTTTTTAGAACTGAAAGAAAAAGGAGGATGTAGGGAGGAAAGGGCGAGTAATTCGAACAAGCAGAAATAAAAGCTGTAGAGTAGAAACAAAATATTAAAGAAAAATAAACACAGCCGCTTACTTTACTGCCAGTGATCGAACTATTCGCGATACTGCGATTATTTCTATGTGAAAGACCAGGGAAGGTTTCGCCTTTCAACTTTGAATAGATTTATCCAAGCTAACAGCCAACTAATCGTTGAAATCTGTACAAATCTTCTTTTTCATTCAAACGACAACGCGATTCTGATATTTTTCAGTCCTTTGAAAATTTCCTCTCTCTTTTTCTGTCAATGTTGGCGTCCCTTGAAGAGCTGAGCTGTTGAACAAGTCAGGTTTTGTAGACCTAGTGACAGCTTGATATCCTCAGATGCACAAAGTACATCAATGGTTGTCGCTACGCTTTTGATGAATTGAAAATTTTAACTTTTTCGAGTTTCGTCAACCTTGAGCGAATTTGAAATGAAAAAAAATTTTCGAAGAGGACACACTTGAAACTCGTAGAGAAAGAACATACAAAGAAAGAGTCACTCCATGCTCAGTTCATTAAAGCGTTCGAGTAAATGAAAAAATCATCAAAAATCTCTCGCTGCCGAAAACGTGTTAACGAATGTCTCCGTGGTTGCATCGAAATGGGATAAAAACAGCAAAAAAGCTCTAAATTCTAGAAAGTTGCGCCAAAAATAACACTCAACTATGCATCTCGCCCATAATCATTATTCTCCCCGGAAAATGCGAGTTTACGCCTAAATTATCCTGAGTTCACAGCATTTTTCTGAAACCGTTCTCAGGAAAAAAAAATGTAAACCCTACGGAAGTGGAATGGTGTTCAGGATAGCAACTGGCTCACCAAGTAACATTTTTCTGGCAGTAAATTCGAAAAAGGTTCTCGTTTAAGAACTTTAAGGTCTCCATAGGTTCGGTTTATGCTCAATTCTCAATCCGTTACAAGCCGAAAAAATCTTCGTTGGCACCAAGGGCAAAGCAAACCAGACATCTTTCTGATATGGAAAAGAGCTCAATAAGCCATTAAAGATCGAAGTCTAATTAAGCGTTATCATAGGCTCCTTTGTGAAGAAAAACTCTTGGTGGGACTTCTTGGGGTATTAGGTTCAAATACTTAAGAAGATCGGTTAAGACGATATGTCTCAGCAGAGTTATTACCGGCATGGACTTTGCAATTTAACATTGTTAGTTTTACATTGTCTGTTAAGATCCTTCTTAAAACATTCCATTGAAAAAAAATACTAATTACTATTCTAAAGGTGTTATCGACATGGCGGCTCTTACGGTGAATTCATTGTTGACTGGCTACCTTTGGATTATTGGAGCTAACTACTGTTACTCTCCGAAACTGGTATTTATCGCCGGTTCCATGGGTCTCGGTAAGTTTCTGCTCAATAATAAAGGTCGAAAAAACTGGTAGGAAATAGCAAAAGAAAAATAAGGAAGCGATTGATCCAGAGCGAGTGATGCTGCATCTCACCAGCAGGGTGCTGTCTCGATTCAGCGCCGGGCTCACCAAATCTTTTATCCTATCGGCGACACGGAACTGATACCAGACTCGTCTGGAAACACTCCACACCCTGCAGTGTAATTGGGAACATCTAACCTGGCTATCTCAAGTCCTCAAGGGAATAGACCTAACCAGCTCTCAACGACATTTACAGTGAAGGCAAGAATACCTAAGTAGTAGCCTAGTAAAAAAAAAGTTCGAACACCTTTATGGATTACGAAAGCGGAAAAACGAATAGAGTACAAAAATTGCTAGGAGTCGCAAAATGGACGTGAGGAAAGACTACGTGGAATAATATCAAAGAAGGAATAGTAAAACCTAAGCAAAGGAGGGACTCTCCAACCATAATCGCCCAATTATTTTGCAATGTAGAATTTGAAGACTTGGCGTACTGCAATAAAGCATCTTGATTAACTTGCTTTACTCTATGTTGAATTCTATACGAATGGAAAAAGCGCAGGCAACGACTTTTCAGCACTGATCAGTTGAGTTTTATTCAAAGTGGATCCGCGCGCAGCAATTCTATAAAATTTCCCCCTATGTCATATCGGGCTTCGTTTCATACATTCCTACTTTGTTGAGGGTTAGAAAAGGCTCCGACAGAGTAGAAGGGGTTCGACCGATTTTCTCATTTTGCAGGTCTATGGTGTTGCGCATGCATGAACTGCTTGCTGTTAGCAATTAATCGGTTTCTGGACGTGTCAAATAAACAGTTCAAGCAAACGGTTGGCCATTATCGAAATGTATTTTTTATCTGCGGGAAGGCCAGGATTGAGGATCAGTATGGTTTTTATCCCTAGGATAACCATGTTCTCACTGCTACAGGGTGGCCGAACTGCTAACGGATTTCTGTAAGATTACATAAACATTGATTTCATACGCTGGCAGAGCCATTGTGAGAGCCACATACGTATTCAGGCAAATCATAAGGTTGTAAAATGCAAAGTGCACATGGAAAGATTGATCAACACCGAAAACTTTATTCCTACTTCTTTACAGTTTTTGATATTCTTCCATATTACATCGTCAGACAGTGACAGTAGTGGGTGTAATCCTTCTCAGCACACCCCGACAATGCCTACTTCAACTTCTCTGCCGCTTTGGATGACGCCTTTCTTCTAGCCATGACGGAATTACTGCTTTTTAACGACAAACCATATCATTTCCGATAACTAGAGAAAATGATGAGTTGTAAAGACGATAGATTTGTAGAAGATATCTTCGTTCTATCGTCCTATGGGTGCAAAGGGTATTTATGGTGGTATTTAGCACATGTTGCTATGGTCCGTCATACAAACATATCTCTGCCAACAAATGGAAGCATTTGCAATTTCTGTATATATTTTCTTGCGAACTGTCTTTGTTCACTGACGCGAGGTTGGTATAGATTCTGTATTGTTGCTATTGTTCTTCTTCAATGGCTCACCATTTGACCACTTCGTCTTCCTTAGAGTTTGGACGGACCATATGTTATAGTAGCTCTACAATTCGGTAAATTCCTTAGTACTAATGAAGATCTAGCATATGAAGAGACATCAATTTTCAAAAACTACCCATCGTGCTGCTGGAGCACGCTTTGTTTGTTTACAAAGAATGATGAGTGAGATCCACCTATGGGGATGCGAATGAAAAAGGTCTGTCTCTACTGTCAATATGCAGACGACTGCTTTGCTGTCTGTTCCACACAAAAACAAATGAACGAACGTTTCAAATTGTTGAACAGATGCTCGAAGTATACAAAATTCACGCAAGAAAAACCAACCGAGGAATAGATTTCATTCTTAAACATCCAAATAAAGGTTTTAGAAAGTGGCTACATAACAAAATTGCATCGAAAACTGACTTAGTACATACTTGAATGGCCCGTCCTAAGTAGACGTGTGGACCCCAGCTTAATCATCGTTTTTCGGAAATTTGTTGGTTAAGTCATTGTGGTTCTCTCGAATCCCGAGGTCAGCCTAGCCAAAGTCTGCTCCAGGTCTTCACCACCACAGGCAGTCGCAGCCCTTGTGGACCAGAGGTAGATTTGCCACCATGCGACTTTGACACCAGGACGGTGGTGGGTCCTGGTATTGGTTTACTCTTAGCCAGACTTTCTGATTAAAGCTAGGTCTCATTCATCATGCTAGGTAAACAATGCAGGTGTGTTGCAATGCCATGGTACAAAGTTTTTGAAAATTGGCGTCTCTTCGTATGCTGGATCTTCATTAGCACTATTGAATTGACGTCTAAGTTCTGGGGAAGGCGAAGTCGCCGAAACGTGAACCACTGAACAACGACAAAACCACAAAAAAGAAGATAAATACCAACTTCCTAGCTAAAGCTCATCAGCTCATTTCTCAGCTTTTTCTAAGCTCATCAAAAAAGAATATATACCAATTTCGTATCAGCTAAATAAAGACATTCTAAAAAGGTTAAGATTGTGATTTCTACTTCAGCCTCAGCTTAACTAGGTCCGTTGCCTATTAGGGCTTCCTTGATCGGTCCCGTTGACGGCTTACTGCTGATAGCGCCGATCAATAGAACTAGCTGAGAAAAGAGGAGAAACGACGAACCTGCATGATGTGGCGGTGAACGCGTTACCCTCCGCAAAGGACAACAGCGCGTTCGTTCCACCCCGCAAACACCTCAGGTCCGGAGTTTTGCAAATATCTCTTATCTTAGTTAAATAAAGACAATGTTATACCTTTTTATTTTCTGCCTACTATGATTTCGCGGCAGGGTACTAAGCGAAATACAACCACAACGTTGCTGAGATGTTTGCAAAACTCTGGACCGCAGGTGTCTATGGTGGGGAACGAACGCGCTATTGTCCTTTCCGGGGAGTACGCGTTCACCACCACACCATGCGGGTTTTTTGTTTCGCCTGTCTCTCAGCTATAAAAGGACCCGCATGGTGTGGTGGTGAACGCGTTACTCCCCGGAAAGGACAATAGCGCGTTCGATCCCCACCATAGACACCTGCGGTCCAGAGTTTTGCAAATATCTCAGCAACGTTGTGGTTAAATAAAGACAGTTCGTAAAAACTCTTGAAAAGGAAAACAAAGCTATCGACGTTGAACAATCTCTAAGGGGGACGCCATGCATTCGACTTCATTAAGTATAGTTCGGAGGTGTTCGAATGCATATCTGGCCTTTGCAATAACCCGCGGTGGAATACCGATGTAGCGCTCTAGCGTTGTTATCCTCCCGGAGAGCTCTGGTTCCAATTTGACGACCCCGGAAGGATGGAAGGCTTTGTGGACCATAAGCGCTGGGATCGATTCCACATATGTGCTCCAGGATGCCTTCGATCACTGGGCCACACGCACCCTTATTGCATAAGAACATATACATCGACTACTATGCCAAGGTTTATAGAAAGTCCATCTTTTGAGTTATTTGCATCTTATGCACCTCTGCTCCAGCATTGTTTTTACCCAAACACTCCATGTAACAGCCACTGCTAACCTACCAAACAGAGTTTAAATGATAGACGACTACCACTAAATGTTCAGGCCAACGAACCGCAAGGGAAAGGGTTTTCTGTAGGTTTCTAAGTGCAGAATGGTACCCGTGCCGTCCAACACCCAATACAAAAATTGTGTTTTATAAGCTACTGATTGGTCACGAAGAGTATTCAAAAGCAAATGTATGTATTAAAACAAACACCAAAAATTTAATGGAACCTATGGAGGTTATACCGGTCACAACAGCGACTTTGAAATGACGCCATAAACATCACTTGTTGCGATAGTGTTAAGGAATGCTTCACGAAAAGGGCTTGAAACCTGAACTAGGACTTGGTCTTAGCCCCTTTATGGCATGTAGCTATTCTGACTCAGGTTAAGGTTGTCTTGTTTGCTTGTTGTGCAAATGAACACAACAGTCGACATAGTTCGTTAAAGCGTTGTGTATCCACTTAACATTTCCCTTCTTTGTGCGTGATGTTTATCTCATTCAGCTGTTCGGAAAGAAGCGCACGTATTTGGTTCTTCTGCTTCCGTTCATCTACTGCCTATACTTCATACTTTATACACCACCTGTTCTATTCAATTCAGATCATATGGCTTGGTTTTTTACAACTTTTGCACCGCAAAGCAACATTGAAAATGTATGTGGAAGGGTTACTACTTCAAAGAAAATATTAAAGAGCACTGAAATTAAACAACAGTGAAAAGAGTACGCCGGAGGGCAAGTAGATGTCTGGGAATTCAGTTGACCTTCCTACTGCCTTACTGTCTGCTATTAGCAAATTTAGTAATACTAGAAGGACACGTAGTTCAGAAGATAATCTATTAAAAATTTCGTAGTCAATTGTTTACGCAAACAATTCGGCCTTAGTAAGAGCTGGCAGCTGAGCCAATTTGCTTGTGTTTTGGAAAATATGTTCACAAAAAAAGAAACAGCGAATGTAAATAAACTTAAAACCATAAATAGAATCTTGAAGTCTTTTGTTTTTTTCAGTACTACAACTATCCACATACAGTCAACAACCTTCTCGTTGTTGCGGTGACCACCTTGGTATACGTAGTATACTCTAAGGAACTCTTTCGTAAATTGCAAATCAGCAACGGATTATCTTGGGCGCAAAAATCGGTGGGCGTTGTTTTCTGAAAACTCTTGCTTCAAAAAAGAAAACAGAGAAGAATGGAAGGAGAGGTAACTTCAGAAGAATATTTGTTACGTGAAGCGTTTGAGATGATTTAGTGAGAAGCATAACTGAAAAGAAGACCGCTGTAGAATGTGCCCTGACTAGCTTTACCGCTTCACATCAGATTTTTCGTTAAAGGTCAAAGAACCTGAAGGTGCACAAGAAATTTTTGGAATAAATTCGACCACAATAAAATTTGGATGCAAAACAGAACCTTGGGAGATCGCAATCTTCATTGTCCATTGTAGAAATAAAGCTAGTAATTATTGTTTATTTTTGAGCTACTTGTTGCAGTTTTTCATTCAATCGTCGTTAATTTGCCTCGTGAACCTTGTGGCGTCAGTGATTTACGTCTACATGCAGTTCTTCTACACACCGCCTTCTTTCGTCGTAGTCGGTCACATGGGTTGGCAACTCGGTCATGGTAACACTGTTTCATGTGCCTATTAGGATTTGCTTCGTGTTTTATAGCATTTTGTGGGATAAAATCGGAATCTTTACTTTTCCGACGCCAAAAATAGGAATATCGTTACTTACCACTTCAGGATTTCCGGCATTCGTGTGTCTTCTCTTGAATAAAACCATTCAACGTGAAGTTCTTCAAATGCTGGGAATTCGTAAGCGACAACAAGCTGTGGCACCAAGGACCAGAAACACACCTAAAACTCTGTTCACTGAAAGTTAAGAAGTTCGATCGAACTTATTCTGTCTTCTTTAGCGCCGATTAAGCCGTGTGGGAAATATTGTCATGGTCAATTCTTTCCATTTGCTACTTCCTGCCAGTCTTGTCTATGATTTCATGGAAACTTCCTTTATTCCAATGTAAAATGCTTATTTTACTCAAGCAGTGTGGTTGATTTCCAACAGCATAAAAATATCTATTTCTGTGTTTGTGACAGTTTTACATCTAGGAGGAACTGCGTTTTGTACGACAACAACCACCCGCATAAAATCTCATTGTTGTGGGAATTTTAGGGCCAAGAAATTCTAGTCGCATTTTAGGGATCGTCTGTTGCCAGAGAAGAAAAGAAAAGCAGAGCTTGATTCTGATACAGTACACTTGACACGACGTGTAATAAGTTCTAGCTGTAGAGTACCATTGCAAGGTCTAAATCGGTACGCACGGAAAAAATCCTGAAAGCATCCCGAAAAAAAGACTAATGAAGTGCTATGGGATATACGAAGAAACATTGTTGTGCTATTGCTAGCGATGAACGAAAATGTAATCACTTCTACAATCTCTTCCATTACCACACAACTCTCGCTGGAAAGAAACCATCATGGGCTTTCCTTCTTATCTCCTGTTCCGGAGAAAGGCAAGTAGCGCTCTAGATCAAGAAAGTATTAGAGCTACTCTCTTTGAGCAAGGTTTGCATAGATTTTTGGCGTTTTCGGATAGGTTGGTTTGAACTTTTAGGAATGAAAGGCAGTTTTCTTTCGGTTTCTCAACATCCCAAGCAAAACTTAAAGACATCAGCGCGTAAAACTCCTGAAGCGTTTTGGATCACTTCCAAAAATTCAAAAATGAGCCATCTGGAGGAGTGCCTTGCCATCACGCGTGACCTTGCGCCCTACCTTATGCTAATCCAATGACTTGACACAGACACAGTTATCGCCTATGTATTACTCTGTGCGGCTGCTATCAACCAACTAACTGAAATACTCACAGCGAATAAACGGTAAGTATTCAAATGAAGCTGTTTTTCATGTGAATGCAAATTTATTTGTTAAGTTTTATCTGCTATGGTTATGAAAGTGTTCGGCTGAGTAGGTCGCATCTCAATTTAACCCTTCCAAGCTCTGAAGAAGGCGGAACCGCCGAAACATGAGCTATTGTACCCTAATAAATTCTATAATAACATTCCGAAACCGACTTTCCTTGAACCTCGGTATCACTAATTAATATGTATTCTTTCTTTTATGAGCTTACGAGGTTGACAATGATATTTATTTTCGGCTAACGTTTCGACGTCTTCGCCTTTCTTAGAACTGATGATCCGAGTCGATGGTCCTCCCTTGTTATTCGTCTCGACGTTGCAGCTTCACCTTCGTTTCGAGTGAGGTCTTTCTCAGTGAGCCATCTCCTCGAGTGAGGCATCCTCACTCAGTGATGCCCATTTATACGCGATGCTGATGGTGGATATAATGATAATGTCGCGTGTTAAGAACTTGTTTTTCTTCCGGGCATACATCGTTGCTCACGTCGTCCAGAAGTCGGTGTTATTATCAGGTAGCACAAAGCGTAGTAATATTTCGAAACCGAAAAAAAACTTTCATCGTGTATAAAAGGGCATCACTGAGTAAGGATGCCTCATTCGAGGAGATGGCTCACTGAAGAAGACCCGACTCGACGCGAAGGCGAAGCTGCCACGTTGAGACGAATAACAAGCATGGACCATCGACTCGGATCATCGGCTCTGAGGAAGACGAAGACGTCGAAACGTTAGCCGAAAATAAATATCATTATCAACCCCGTGTAAGCTCATCAAAGAAAGAATACATATTAAAAAATAAATTTGCATTCACATGAAAAACAGCTTCATTTAAACACCTACCGTTTATTCGTTGTGAGTATTGATTAGTGATACGTGATAGGTTCACGGAAAGTCGGTTTCGAAATATTTCCTTCGTCTTTCAGTATTTCGTAGAGCAACGGCACGAAGTTTAATACGACATACTGTAGATTTTTAATTTCTCTTCTTCTTTATCAAAAAAGGCTTCCTACTTTGCACAAATTTTACTTTTATTTCAATACTCTGTGTTAATACTTATGCCATACTTCTCGTTTTTCTTCAAGAAACAGTTAAGTAAAGACCTACCAAGAGCTACGCAACCAGCGATAAACATCAACTTTGGACAGTAACAGTAGTTGGCGCCAACAATCCAAAAGTACCCAGTTAACAACGAATTAAGTGCCAGCGCCGCCATGTCGTACACACCTGGAGAAATGTCCTTTAAGTTTTGTTTTAATAAGGTGGCACGACAGTGTCATTAACAAATTGATGACGGTCAAAAAGTAATTTAGTGATCAGTTGTGATAAGTTAGAACGCTGGAGCGTTTTTGGATATTCATTATGTGGTTGTCACAACGTGGCGAATAGGGTGCGTATGGTACAGTGGTTGGCGGCGCCGCTGCAACACACACGTGGAATTGATCCTTGCGCACGTGGCCTACCAAGCCTTCCATCCCTCCGGAGTCGGCAAACTGTTACCAGACTTGTCTGGGAGGATAGCAGCAACTGCTCGATACATCGGTAGGCCACCGCGAGTTGTAAGGGTCAGATATGCATTCAATCACCGCCAACGATACTTAATGAAGTCGAATGGATGGCGCATCACTCGGGGATTAAACAACGCCGAGAACTTTATCCTTTTTTATGCAAATGGTCAGCGCGCGTTGGAAACATAAAAATTACTTCTGATAGGGAAAACCAACCTGAACGGCGATCACTCAACCGTTAATTAAGAAATGCACTACAGGGTGAAGAAGGGGATAAAACTCATCTAAGCAACTAGTCCATAAACCAGGAATGATATCCCAAGCCAAATATTTACATTTCCAGTGTTTCTACTCGATTTTCCATAAAATAAATAACATGTATAATGCTGAAATATTTGCAAAACTCCGGACTGCAGGTGTTTGCGATGGGGAGTGAACGCACTGTTATCCTTTCCGGGGAGTGATGCGTTCACCACCACACCATGTGGATCCTTCGTTTTGCCTGTCTCCCAGCTAGTTCTATCGATCATAGCCATCAGCAATCACCCGTCAACGGGATTGATCTGGGCACCCAAATGGGCATTGAACCCAGTTAAGCTGAGGTTATAGTTATAATCACAATCTTAAACTTTTTACTTACTGCCTTTTTT